GCCCATGCACCACAACTACTGACCTGCACTCTAGAACCCGTGAGCCACAACTACTGAGCCCACGTGCCACAACTACTGAAGCCTGCATGCCTAGAACCCATGCTCCACAACAAGAGAAGCCACTGCAATGAGTCGCCCATGCACCACAACGAAGAGTAGCCTCCACTTGCCACAGCTAGAGAAAGCCCGTGTGCAACAACGAAGACCCAACACGGCCAAAAATAAATTAATTAAGTTTTAAAAAATTTAAAAAATAAAATGCATATGGAGTTCCAAGAGACCCAGTATGGCCCAAACAACTGTGAAAAATAAGAATAAAACAGAACAACTCACACTACCTGATTTCAAGACTTACTACAAAGCAAAGTAATCAAGATATGTGGTTTGGACACAAAGAGAGACCAATAGAATTGTTCAGAAATAAAACCATAAATCTAAGGTCAATTGATTTTGATCAGGATACCAAGACAAGGATATTCTTCAATGCAGAAAATATTTTTTTTCAACAAGCATTACTGGGACAAATGGAGAGCCACATGCAAAAGAATGGATTTGGCCCCTTATCTCACACCATATACAAAAATTAACTCAAAATGGACCAAAGATCTAAATGTAAGAGCAAAATCTATAAATTCCTTAGAAGAAACTGTAGGAGTAGGTCTTCATGCCCTTCAATTTGGCAAAGGATTTTTAGATAAGACACCAAAAGCCTAAGAAATAAAAGAAAAAAATAGATAAACTGTATTTCATCAAGATTATAGACTGTTGTGCTATGAAGGACACCATCAAGAAAGTGACAAGACAACCCACAGAATGGAAGAAAATGTTTGCAAATTTTATATCTGATAAGGGACCTGTACCTGGAATACATGGAGAACACTTTCAACTCAATAATAAAATACAAGCAGTCCAATTAAAACTGAACAAAGGATTTGAATAGACATTTCTCCAAAGATATACAAATGGCCGATAAAAACGTGAAAAGGTGCTCAGCGTCACTATCCACCAAAGAAATACAAATTAAAACCACAAGAAACCACTTCACACCCACTAGGATGGCTAAAGTACAAAAGACACATAATAACAAGTGTTGGGAAGCATGTGGAGAAATCAGAACCCTCATACACTGCTAGTGGGAATGTGAAATGGTCCAGCTGTTTTGCAAAACAGTCTAGCACTCCTAGATGTATTTAACATATGGTCCAACATTTCCACTTCTAGGTATATAACCAAGTGAAATTAAAATATATGTTAAAAAAATTACCTTGTACACAAATGTTCATAGCAGCATTATTCATAATAGCCAAAAGATGGAAACAACACAGATGTCCATCAACAGACAGATGGATAAACAAAATGTGGTAAATCCATACAATGGAATAATTTAGTCATACAAAGGAATGAAATTGGAACAAGTTATGAACTTGTGAAAACATTATAGGTAAAAGAAGTCAGTCAGAAAAGATCATATTCCATATGATTCCATTCGTATGAAAGTCCAGAATAGGGAAGTCTATTGAGACAGAAAGTAAGTTAGTGCTGCTTAGGGCTTGGGTGGGAGCAGGGATGGGAGGATAGAAGAGTGATAGCTAAGGCTACATGGTTTCCTCCTGAGGTCATAAAAATGTAATAAAATTGACTGTGGTGATGGTTACACATCTTTGAATATATGTAAATATACTATACCAATGTAATACACTAAAAACAACTTTAAAAGAGAAAATTATATTTTTAAATAGTTCTTTTCCTTCTGTTTCTTTCTGCTATTCAACACAAAACTATACAGTAGAATATAATGGAGAAAGGAGACAAATCTTTGTGCATTTTCCTATTTCTGGGAATCTTTTCCTTTCTTTCAGCCTAGGAAGGAATTTGAGTACACTGTACTTTATTTGGAATTTTCTAGCTTACAAGATGAATTCATAATTTTAACAAACAGGTTTATGGAATGATTTACAGGTTTATGGAAGACTTCAAAGAGGGTAATGGTGATATAGTCATCGATTTTAAGTATTACACTGATTGCTGTAAAGAATTATATTTGTAATTTAGATTATTCAGTACTCCAGTAAACATGAGTGAAAATCAACTTTAGCTCATAACTTTAATATTTTCATACAATCAAAATATAGAGATATACACTAAGTAAGCATAACATGAGTTATTTTAATTGATCAGAATATCTTGGGTATGCTTTAGAAATAAAAGAAATGGTTTTTATTAGCATATTAAAACCAAGAGAAAATTAGATAAGTTCACATTTAAAAAAAATTATCAAGCAATAAATACAGCACTATAGCTACCACTACTTCTATGTACATTGGACTACATTTGAACAAACACTAAATTCCAGAATGAATATTTTATGAATAAATGCACTAAATAACTTTAGAAATTAAAAAAAATGACAGACTAGAATTGTTCTAAAAATTAAAATGACTTTCACAAATACTTTCAGAAAAGTAGCAGATTTGCATTTTAAAAGTTAGAAATTCCCCAAATAAGTTTTTAGATACCAAGGAATTTTGCTTTTAAACAGTATTGATTTTACTTTTTTATATGAGTAAGATACAAAGGAGATCTTAATTATTAGTATTTCAGTTTTAGAGAAGTCTAATATTTAAAAATATTACTTCTAAAAAAAAATGGGTTCAAAATTAACACTGATTAATCATGGACTGTCTTCACCTAAAGATGGTACAATAGATAAATCCTGGCCACAAAGGAAATCTGATCTAAACTTAATATGATAAAAGCACAATAAAAAGACTTGAAAGTTCCAATGTATTTTTAATATAATGCTCGTTGATAAATTTGACATTTCCTACTGTCATTTATGGTTGAGACTTGATAGCTTGTCTGGAAGAATGCTGAAATATATGAACAGTGCAAGTGAAGGATTTGAATCTGTGTCTTTGAATAATAAATAGCTAAAATATGAGATTATTTAAAGGAATTATTGTATAATTTAGGCATTAGAAAGTTCAGAACAGCCTGAGTTCCTTTTTATAACAGGTTGTTTTGAAATCTGTAAATCTGAAACTAACAATACAGCTTTTACATGTGTATAGATAAATCATAAATCTACTGACCAGGCCTTTTAATAAGTGAATTCTTACTAATTTAGATAATTTACCTGGACAATTTCAAATGACTTCTGAACTTACCATCTATTGACAGCTTAAGAAACAACCTATGATGACTAAGTCACTAGTTTAATCCATTTTAAGCAGATGGACACACCACAGCAACAACAACAAAAAACATATAGATGTAATGAATTCTCCTGCCAAAACTGACTTACTAATTGAAGGCATTTTATTTTTCAGTGGAAAATGACATTAAGAAAAATGAATCCCATTTAAATGTCACTTTAATTCATTAGCGAGGATTTCTTCCATCTTAATTTAATTATTCCATAAATGTTCTGACAACAATTCTTGCTTACTGATACATTCAGGTCTTTCACTATACTGCATCATCATATATAGTATCTCTATTAAAATATAAAAACATTGTATATGATATATATTGTATTCCTCTAATTTTAAAAAATAGCCTTGCAGCATTTCCAAAGCTATATATCTTCATATAGTAAGTCAGAAAAGTAATCTTTTTAACGGGGTAAAAACCATAAGAATAGCAGATTGGCATTTATTATAGGAGTCATTTAAATTTTCTGGATTAGAATGAAAGTTCATCATCAAAATAAAAAAGGAAATATGTCAAACATATCTATTATTAAGGTATGAATCACCAAAGCAAATATATTCAATAAAACAATGGCCTTGAGGATTTTTTAAATAAATATTTTATATCTTATCATAGATATTTCTCAAACTTAGTTCTCAAACTTCTGATGCTGGCATCTGGTTGTCTTTAAAATAGTTACCAAATAAAGAATTCCAGATTCTATTTTATTATAAAATCAGCCCAGACACAGTATCAGATATTAACATGCACACATTGTTACATTAAGTATTTGTTTTTTAAAAAAATTACCTAGATTGTATATATTTGAGACTATAAAATAGAATAACAGAGTATTTACAAGCTTTTCACAATTTTTTTACAAACTTTTAAGAAAATAAGAAATCCTTCATTGATTTCCTTCATGTAAAATAATTGCTAATTTGTCCACATAGTAGAAATGGAAGGGGCAAAGTTTCTATTTACAGGTCTATGGACACGAATTCCTTCCCACTTGTGTAGTAAGATGGGAAAGTAGTCAACTACATGTTTCATAGTATCAACCAAGATTTCTCCCTAATGATACCAAAGTAGGATTGCGTATCATACATACTATTCATCAAGCCTCAAAAATGGATATGACAAGGGGTATAACTGTGATGAATCAGCAAATGAGTAGCCAACAGCAATTCTGCTCATTTATTTTTTGGGGGGAGAAGAGGGTAAGCAAACAGGAATAATTAATTCTTTATCTGGTCCATTTGAAAAAATAAAAACAAAAAGGGCTAGAATACTTTCTGGGCAAAAAATCAACTTCACCAAGGAATATGGGATAAAGATTTTAAAAACAAATGAAAAGCTCATTTTCTTTCCAAGTCTATAGGCCTTAGCTAGGTCTCTTTAGGCAACAGGAGTGGAATTGTGCCCATTGTGTCTATGAACTTTTATGGTCTATTTATTTGTGGATTCATGCAGTGGTGTGCTGGAGCTGGCTCACACCAACCTACAACAACTGACTGTGCTCATTTTTACCCAATTCCACATTCACTGATGTCAAGTTGGTAACTTGAAATCAGCCATGGTGGGAGTACTTACACCATAAAAACTGGCAAAAATTAAAAATCAGGACTGTTTTCCCCCATGGAGCTAGTGTGAAACATTTATCAACACACTACTGAATTCATGTGAGGGTTTACTTTGTCACCTTCAAATAATTCATTTAATATTGAAGTCTTCTGGTTGTAAAGTCATGGATCCAAGTCCTTGAGTTAGGAGTGGAACAAAATAGTTCAGCAATACATGCTCTATTATCAGTCGTATAACTTTTCCGGTTTTATGACAACGTTTTCAATATCGTGGATGCTTTTTCCATTTAAGTGTTCAGTTGGACAGTCATGACTGTAACCTGCACCATCACTGATTGTTGACACTGTGTAAGATGCACTACGGAGAGCATCTGAGTGGGAAAAGCTGTTTCCAAATTGGATTTTATATTGATTCCAGTTTCTTCTCAGAATTGCTTGAACCTATAAAACAAAAAGAAACAGAAAGGGTAAGAGCAATTCATAAATGAAATGAAGATAATGTATTTAATAATACAATAAAATAAGTTACGTACAAAAGCTTTTTTTAAAAAAAGCATTGATATTGAGTGAATAATATTACTTTATTTTCTTAATTAAAAAATGAAATTGAGTAAACTATCTTTATATTAGGAAATCTTTGCAATTACTCTGTACTTTAGTACAGACTACAGAAAACTTCATATTTCTCTTTCTATGCCTTCTCTTTGAAGCTCTAAAAATGCACATGAATGTTTCTGTCAAATAGTTAATCTACACCCTCACTTACAAGTTGGCATGTGCAACATTTAGTTTTGTATCAATATTTTTATTAAAAGAATGAGATAATTAGTGAAATATAAAAGAGGAGAGAAAAAAGATTTAAAAACAGGGTTACAGAGAATATAAATAATTATCACCATCATCATCAACAGCAGCAGCAACAACATTTTACTGTGATTAGCATATGCCAGGTATTGAGCTACATTCTGGAAAAAAAAAGATCAGCGTTTTTGTCCTCATGGAGCTTACCCCCAGAGGGAAGAAAGTGTTCAACAGATAATTACAGCACTGAGCATATAATGGGACAAGTATTGTGGGAAAAAAAAGTTTAGGAATGTCACCACTCCACTTTTTTGTATTTAGATACCCCTCTGTCTGGATAAATTTGAATTTTAATGACTCTTCTATCTTTTCTGCTTGGGGATAGAGATGAGAACTAGGTAGGTCATAAACAATGATTTTGGTTTTAACTGAACATAAGACACAGATGATTTTCTTCATTGAGTCAGTGAACATAAATGAGAATATCAAATGCATCTCCAACTCGATCACCTGTACATTTCCTGTCTGCTTCTAGGTTAAGAATGTATTAGCCACATGCTGTGACCTGATCTGTGTCTTTGCAAAGCATGTATAGCTTTGAATTGTCTTCCCCAAATCTCTACGGCTCTTTGACCTTTGATTGTTTCCCCAAAGGGAATCTGAGCATCCAAAAACAACTTTCTAGTAGTTCATGTCCTACAAACATACTCATACAATATTGTTTAACTTTCTACGAATTACATAAATTCTTCAACCTTTTATTCGTTACATTCATGTGTACATATCAATATATTAAACTTTAAAATAGGGCTGCTTATTTAAGGCTTTTCATTTTCTTATCTCTTCAAATTACAAACAATCTATAGCAAATAGGTATTCCCAGGATGTCTGCAGCTCTGTGGGACACTTTAAGGTCCTGTTAGTCTCCTCTAATCTGTCGCTTAAAATGAACACAAAGTTTTACTGTCTCATTTCATATTTTAACATGTAGAAAAACAAAACAAACAAATATAAGGTCAATCAGTTTCTTTAGTAAGAATTCAGAATGAGTTATTAGAAATTCCAGGAGGGGCTTCCCTGGCGGCGCAGTGGTTGAGAGTCCGCCTGCCGATGCAGGGGACACGGGTTCGTGCCCCGTTCCGGGAAGATCCTACATGCCACGAAGCAGCTAGGCCCGTGAGCCATGGCCGCTGAGCCTGCGCGTCCAGAGCCTGTGCTCTGCAACGGGAGAGGCCACAGCAGGGAGAGGCGCGCCGCAAAAAAAAAAAAAAAAAAAAAAAAAATTCCAGGAGGCGTGTCCCTACTCTATAATTCAAAAATTATGTAGTTAGGAATGCAATGCATTGTTTTATTAACGTGAAATTCAGAACTTCAGGAATTTCAAGCTTACTTCTTTACATATAGCAACTATATCTGAAGGAAATAATTTTTATTCATATAAATTTTCTTTGAAATAACAGCATTTATAGGAAGATGAATACATTTATCTTATAAAAATTATACTTTATTTCTCTCATGGTTTAGTGATGTATTTCTAAGTTCTCCAAATAACATATTTAAATTAAGGTAATTAAAAAATACCATCTGCGTAATGTCTTCAAGAATATAAGCAAATGACAAATGGAATGGCTTTAGAGTATGACTTTTAAATAAATATTCAGAGATTTAAAACAAAAATGACATTTGGCCAATTATCTAGGTATTTCTAATGGGAGTTGTTTTTGATCCTGATTTTTATGCTTAATTAACTTCTCACTTTGTTACTAAAAGCTGGACTGATTGAATCCATGTGCTATATAGTTTCTGTTTGAAAGGAGGTGGAATGTAGCTTTGTACAAAAGATTCTACATAGATGTTGGGAAGAAGCTGACATGAAGAAATATTTTAGCAATGAGAGTATTACTTATAGTCTTAACAAGGAAAGCTTAAATTCAATTCTAAAAGCCAAAATGGCTTTGAAATATATGACTGTTTGCTCTTGAAATACCTACTTTAAGGTCATCACCCTATTTCTTCCTTGCAACTAAATCGTCAGAAAAACCATGGAAAGCCAATTTCCTGACTTATTTACTGAAGCTAAATATAAAGGTAATTAAAGACCCATAGGACTTGTAGACATCTGTTTGTTTATAGTACTCTCTATAAGGATGTTATTTTTTTTCATCTGCTTTCTCTAACACAACATCACACCTATTCAACAGAACATTAAAGTGGCCACCCTCAGTAAACTTACAATGAGAAGAATGTAATGGGGAAAGATAAAAAGGAAAATTGCCATTGGATGGCAAGAGAGCCTGCCTGATGTTATTAAAGATATGAAAGTGTTTTCATTAATTTATGCATAAGTGTTATATAAATAGTAAGGCCAACTTTTTAGAATATAACATTACAATATATAATTTTGTATAATATAAAGAATATGGGTTTATATGACCATTAGTACCTGATAAGAAACCAACTCTACACTGCTCAACCTAAATCAATTAAAAGGTGTTTAATAGAGCTGTATATAAAAATTCTACCTACTTCTCATTACAGGATGTGAGTTTGGTTATTCTCAACAAATCTTTTTGTTCACGTTGTAAAAATATCTACTCTCAGGTGTTGTTAAAGATACGCGTGAGACTAGGGAGGGCCCTTCTGATGTCTAGAGTCCCTAGTTTATGCTAACAGTGCACATTTTTTTGATTGAGAGGACTAGAGATGAGATGAAAGTGACCTGAGTACTTGTCAAGCCACAGTTATTTAACTAGTGAGAAATGCAACTAAGGAATATTTTGGCTAAGAAATAAAAATAAAATGTGAGAATAAAAAATAAATAGAGATATTAAGATAAAGGCAAGCTATTTGACCTGACGTGGAAAGCAAGAAGGAAACTAAGCCTGAGCAAATGATTTCAAGAAGTACATGACATAGTTGGAACCACACAAAATGGATTTGGCAGCTGTGTCTTCATGTTATGAGAGTGGGAAAAACTAGAGGCGAAGAGACAAAAAAAGGAAGCATTATAGTATTTCTTAAGATGAGAAATGAATCATACACAAACAGGGATTGTATCTAGAGATGAAGACAAGGGGACAGATATTGGAGATGTTGTGAGATGCTGAAGGATTTGGTAACAAGTTGGCTCAAAGATTTTTTATTGTAATTTTCCAGTGCCAAAGTTTTCTCAATTTTAGAACATGGCAAAAGATCAAGGCCTGTGTCTCTTTTGCTTACACAGGTAGAGTGCAATAAGAGTGTTAGGCATTAATTTAGATATTCCCTGGGCACTTTTTCTAAATATAAGGGCCGATTTGAGATTTGATTCCGATATGATTAATGTTCCCATTTGTACATATATTTTTGTAAATGAGCGATTTGACAAATCTAAAAAGGAATCTATAATGTACTGAGTATCTACTGTGGGTGGGGCATGGTGCTAAAAACTTTATATTCCTAGTTTACGTTAATCCCTGTGAGATTTGTGTAAAGAACTTGCTTTTATTTCCCTTTAATAAAAGTACACACTGAGACCTCTGGAAGTTCAGAATATTTCCCAAGATGTTACAGCCAGGAACAAAATGGCATCTTTGGGTTTAAATGCATTACTGTGTCAGTGCCTTTATTCTACATTGCCTTCCATCACAAAATATTTTACTAGTGGTTATAATTTGTACATTTTAAAAATACCCTTTATAAAAATCAAATCTGTTTCTGCAGATGCAAATGTGTATCTTACTTATTTCATACATGCTTTATGGCATATTATCTGTAACTTTCTCATCTATATTTAACTGTAAAGTCCTATGTAGGCAGAAATTGGATTGTCTAATTCAGTTTATACAATAATTAATTTATAGAGTTATATAATAAATGCTAATTGAATTTTATTATCAAAACAGATGATGTATCTATTCATCCTAATTGCATTCTCTGTCCCTACTTCTCACTGACTTCAGAAAAAGTCACTCTTGTCCTCGATACAGCAGAGGAATCATGGAGACACCACTCAAAATATAGTCTACTATGTTTGATAGTTCTATATGCCATTATAAATAAATAAATATATAAAATAACTACCTATATTTTAAAATTGATTAAGAAATCAAATATGAAATTTTATTGTATGCTAAGAGAAAGAATTAAAATATTACATAAACAAGGGAAAACAATATTTTATAGCTTTTCATGACATGTACATGATTTCCAACATTGATTAGTTGTATAGAAATTGTTCTTATAAAGTTATGACAACTGGTTCCATGTGTTGCCCACCTGAAGCTTTGTGATAGGCTTCACCATTACCAAATATATGTCTCATTAGTTGCTGTCTGAATTTCTAAACTTTATTGAATTTTGCCAAAATCCTCCAACAGGTTAAATTTTGTCAAGTAGATTAAAATCATATAAAGAACTAAATCAATATAGCTCAAACCACTGAGTTATAGCCCTATTGATATACATAAGAAATATGGTACCAGTTTCTAAGATGCCTGAAACTTCCTAATTAGGAAAAAAAATATTGGATAAAAATCTTGAAATATCCAAAAGCACACTTCCATGTTACAAATCAGAGGGCTCTTCTGTTTCCTAACCCACTGCAGCTCTTCCCAGGAGAAAAAAAAACCCAGAGAAAGGGGGAAAATAAAAATGACCCAATTTTATTTCCTATTGGAGTGTATGTTCTATGAGGATAAGGATTGCCTAACATTGTACCTAGGACAAAGTCCAGAATTAGTAGGATTAGTTCAAAAGGTAGGTCGAAAGACTAGATGAATAAAAGACATTGATGGAATATTTTAAAGTGAGGCTGAATTTGCCCTAGCCTTGAACTCCAATATGACCTGAGCTTTTGGGAAGGAGAGTTACATCTAGTAAAAGAGATTTCATGGTTCTTTTTCCTGACAGAAGTGGAATTTGAAATACTTGTTCTTAGGGAATTTATAATTCTGTCTCCGTTTTTAAAGTAAAAAAGTATTGCAAATACAAAATGATAAGAGGGATAAAATCAATCACCATACCTCTCCATTAAAGAAGCAGAAAATTGTAGATACCAAAAGACCCTGTAAAAGAAAAATAGAATTATCTGATTCCAAATGGGAAAGATACATTATTTGTAACCAACTTGATTCACATATAGTTAAAAATAAAACCAAAGCTATACGTAAATTTAAAACCAAATTTCACAAGGTGCCTTCCTGATGCAAGAACACCATACCTGATAGTGCATGAGGATGTGCATGATGTAATCATACACCTCCTCTGCAATCCTTCCTTCAGGTCGCCATGGAAACAGTACAAATTCAATGCCAAGTAATGGCACCAGGATAAGCGTAGCTCTCACAGCTTTCATGTAGAGATTGGATTCTGCTTGGTGAGTAACTTTTAACTTGGTGATAAGAACACGTACAATATTTAATAGGAAAAAAAGATTCACCTAAAAGAAAATAAAATGGCATATGGAAATTATTTCATATTTAATATTAAGAATCATTATTGAAGGATCTTTGATTTTATGAATCTTAGAATATTTTCAGTACACAAGAATATGTTCCATTGATGAGAATATTTGCCTAAATATTAATTTGTATTTCTGCTACTGAATTTTTTCATATTTTTCCCAGTTTTACTGAGATATAAGTGACACTATATAAGTTTATGTTGCATAGCACGATTTAACTTACATATGTTGTGAAATGATCATCACAATAAATTTAGCTAACATCAATCATCTCATAGAAATACCAAAGATTGTATATATATATTTTTTACTTTATGATGAGAACTCTTAGAATTTACTCTCAGCAACTTTCATGTATATCATACAGCAGTGTTAACTATAATCATCATGTTGTACATCACATCCCTCATACTCATTTATCTTAAACGTGGAAGTTTCTGCCTTTTGACCACCTTCCTACAATTCCTCCTCCTCCATGCCCTGCCTCTGGTAACCACAAATATGTTCTCTTCTTTCTATGAGTTTGTTTGTTTATTTGTTTAGATTCCACATATAAGTGAGATCATACAATATTTGTCTTTCCCTGTCTGACTTATTTCACTTAGTATAGTGCCCATCCAAGTTGTCTCAAGTGGCAGGATTTCCTTATTTTTTATGGCTAAATAGTATTCCATTGTGTGGGGTGTGTGTGTGTGTGTGTGTGTGTATGTATAAATACCATAACTTCTTAAGTTGTTTCCATGTCTTAGCTATTGTGGATAATGCTGCTATGAACATGGGGTGCAGATATCTCTTTAACATAGTGTTCTTGTTTCCTTTGGATATGGAATTGTGATTTATTAACTTAGAAAGTACATCAATCTTAATGGACTTAGATTTAAAAAAATAAATTTATGGTGGAATTATTGTGGACCACCTTCAGCTAACTAATATCTGATTGTTTTGCTTAGTTCATTTTCTTATGCAAAAATTTAAAATTTTGCTATGATTAAAAAATCCAAAGCTTCTGAATATTTTCAGCTCAAAGAAAGGAAATAATTATTTGTAGCAAAGGCTAATTATTTTAAGTGTCTACTCTGTAGTAGTGTTCATACTAGGTACTTACCAAATATGTATTATACCATAATAACCATTTTCATCTTTTTGGTTTATCCTTCCTGCGTTATTTGTGTGTGTATGTGTGTAACAACAATCCTCACAACTCCCCATGATAGTACTATAATCCTCTTTATCCTTATGAGGAGGCTGAATCACATATTGGAACCAGTTGATATTCAACTTAGATCATCCTAGAGTTAAAAAAATTTGGCACCCAACAAGGCCTTCTGTCAATTACTTTCTGTAATTATAAACTTACTATGAGTTTACAACTTTCCTCAAAAGAAAGCATTCTCTTTGAAAGGGAGACATGAAACTTTAAAAATATAGTGTTCAGGGATAGAAAGTCCAGCGATAAACCCATGCACATATGGTCACCTTATCTTTGACAAAGGAGGCAAGAATATACAGTGGAGTAAAGATAGCCTCTTCTATAAATGGTGCTGGGAAAACTGGACAGCTACATGTAAAAGAATGAAATTAGAACACTTCCTAACACCATACATAAAAATAAACTCAAAATAGATTAAAGACCTAAATGTGGGCTTCCCTGGTGGCACAGTTGTTGAGAGTCTGCCTGCCGATGCAGGGGACACGGGTTTGTGCCCCGGTCCAGGAAGATCCCACATGCCACGGAGCGGCTGGGCCCGTGAGCCATGGCCGCTGAGCCTGCGCGGCCGGAGCCTGTGCTCCGCAGCAGGAGGGGCCGCAGCAGTGAGAGGCCCGCGTACCGCAAAAAAAAAAAAAGACCTAAATGTAAGGCCAGACACTATAAAACTCTTAGAGGAAAACATAGGCAGAACACTCTGTGACCGAAATCACAGCAAGATCCTTTTTGACCCACCTCCTAGAGTAATGGAAATAAAAACAAAAATAAACAAATGGGACCGAATGACACTTCAAAGCTTTTGCACAGCAAAGGAAACCATAAACAAGACAAAAAGACAGCCCTCAGAATGGGAGAAAATATTTGCAAATGAAGCAACTGACAAAGCATTAATCTCCAAATATACAAGCAGCTCATACAGCTCAATATCCAAAAAACAAACAACACAATCCAAAAATGGGTGGAAGACCTAAATAAAGCTTTCTCCAAAGAAGACATACAGATTGCCAACAAACACATGAAAAGATGCTCCACATCACTATCATTAGAGAAATGCAAATCAAAACCACAATGAGGTATCACCTCACACCGGTCAGAATGGCCATCATCAAAAAATCTAGAAACAATAAATGCTGGAGAGGGTGTGGAGAAAAAGGAGCACTCCTGCACTGTTTGCAGGAATGTAGATTGATACAGCCACTATGGAGAACAGTATGGAGCTTCCTTAATAAACTGAAAATAGAATTACCATACGACGCAGCAATCCCACTACTGGGCATATACCCTGAGAAAACCATAATTCAAAAAGACACATGAACCACAATGTTCGTTGCAGCACTATTTACAATAGCAGGACATGGAAGCAACCTAAATGTCCACTGACAGATGAATGGATAAAGAAGATGTGGCACACATATACAATGGAATATTACTCAGCCATAAAAAGGAACGAAACTGAGTTATTTGTAGTGAGGTAGATGGACCTAGAGTCTGTCATACAGAGTGAAGTAAGTCAGAAAGAGAAAAACAAATACCTTATGCTAATGCATATATATGGAATCTAAAAAAACAGCACTGGTGAACTTAGTGGCAGGGAGGGAATAAAGACGCAGACGTAGAGAATGGACTTCAGGACACAGGGGCAAGGGGAAACAGGGATGAAGTGAGAGAGTAGCATTGACATATATACACTACCAAATGTAAAATGGATGGCTAGTGGGAAGCTACTGCGTAGCACAGGGAGATCAACTCACTGCTCTGTGACGTCCTAGAGGGGTAGGATAGGGAGGGTGGGAGGGAGGCTCAAGAGGGAGGGGATGTGGGGATATATGTATATATATAGCTGATTCACTTTGTTGTACAGCAGAATCTAATACAACATTGTAAAGCAATTATACTCCAATAAAGATGTGAAAAAAGTATATATAGTGTTCAAGAAATGAACAGAGTTCTATTGAAATACATTTCTCTCTCTCTTCCTGAATACTACGTTCTCTCTTATCTTTATCCATGTCAATATCTGTTACTTTTGTCTATATCCTCTATGCCTATTCCTTATGCCTTCCATAGAATTATGGACAATAGCCCCAGAAAAGTCCCTTTGGGCTCTTATTCTCCTATGCTGTTCTCTTTCCTTTTTCCTCACCTTGACTTCTAGCATCTGTGTTTTGTTTAATAATGTAAAAATTTCAAACTGTGTACTATTATGCAATTTATATCCACATACTTTAATCAGAAAAATAATGGTATTATCTCATTTAATATAGAATGCAATGAACAAATAACATACATTTGCTGATTTAAGGCATGTGTTATGAAAATAACTGGGCATAAAAATATTCTACTGTTCTTTTAGAGAATTCAATGGAACATATGCTTCAAAAATAAACAGCTAACTATAATCCTGATGGAAACACATCTATGAAAAGTAACATGGTTACAGACACAGGACTGTCTCTGCTAAAGACAAAAGCAGAATAAGCTATTTCAACAGGTGTAAGAATGAAACATGATGAATCAACACATCAGCTGTTATTCCACCCATCCTACTGTATTCCCTTCCCAGGCATCCATTACTGTTTTAAAAGTTTTGACTAAGTGGAAATTACTACCAGCCCATTGAATAAAAAGTAATAATGCCATTTTATCTGCTTATAAATTTAGAATTTAGAATATTTTATAATCCTAATATGCAAAAATCATAAATTATAAAAATCACTATAAATCTTGCAATTTAAATGCCCATTATATAAAAATTTCTAAATGCAAAGTGCTTCTCCAAATGGCAAGTCTGATTTAAAATGTGAACCTAGAAACTAGAAAGTCATCCTACTTTATTTTCTGCAAATACTTCCATTTATTTTAAATACAAATAGAACAAGAATAGTGAATTTCAGATGAATTACATCTGAATCTCATCTATCTTAGAGAAAAACTAGGTAAGGAAAAGAGGAGAAACTTGTTTTTACTCCAATACCCATAAAGTTCACGTAGATGGTCGTAGGTACAACAGGACGTTTTCACATCATGATACCACCTAGGGTCATGGCAGGAAGCCCTGTGAATCAACCCAGTGGCAGCAGGATACCTGGAAGCCATTAGCCAGCAATCACCTAACTACTCACTGAAGTGACCTAAACATCTCTCACTAAACACAAATTAACCGTATCCCCTCTCAACTTCCCCTTAGCAAGATCTCAAAAGTGCTATAGACACTCCAATACCACCCTGCTTGAGGGAATATGGGACAGAGGAAGTCTGAGTGGAAAGAAACTGATTGTGGTTGAAATCTCTTCATTTATAAAACTGTACAAAAATATGTGACCATATAAAAAATTGCTAGAGCCCCTCCCAAGACCTTGGAATTGGCCAGGACCAGTAAGGAGCCCTAGAGCTTAAACAAGGACAGGAGCCTGTTAGAAAAATAGGCTCCTAGTCTTTTGTTAGGCCAGAAAAATGGAAAAAGCTTTCTGCAAATAATGTGGATTTTCACTTCCTTTCTTACTGAGCAGCTTGATGGGCTATTTTATCCTAACTGCACCATCTACTCTTCCCTCCCAAAGTTGTTGTGGACAAGCTCTTCCAAGGATTGTGTTAATTGCTGTTATATTTTTCATTTGTTAGGTGCTTTTACTTATTTCCTGAACCTCTCTGATTTAGGACTCTGAATCACATACCTCTCTCTAGAGCCAGATCTCTTATAATAAAATTTTGCCTTATATTTGTTCTGTAAGCTTCTGGATGGCCCCAAAAAAGAATCTTAATTTCTTTGTATTTTCCTCAAAACAGAATCATGGTATCATGTAGAAATTATAAGTGAAGATCTTTTAAAAGCATTTTTTGAGAGTTTTGAGAGTTTATTGTATTCTAGGCACTGTGTTAATTGCTTAACAGGATACATCTCAATCCTTACAACACCCTATGAGGTATTTATTCTTATTACTGCATAGTCATAGATGAGAAAACAAAGGCATAGAGAGGCTCAAAACAAAACAAAACAGAACTTGCCCTGAGAAACACAACCAGCAATGGTAGAGCTAGGTTTCAATGCTGGTTCTTTCCAAGAATACAAAGCTAGGACTTCTCAGGATACAGCTTAAACAATGTGTTATACATGTTCCTAGTATATGCAAGTAGCAAGGGAAGGAAATGCTTCTGCCTCTGAAATTTTCGTAGACTCTGCACTAAGGTACATTAAAATTTCCATGAGATATAATAATAAATTCCATTTGTTGATTTTTTGAACTGGCTGTCTTGTGTAGCCAAGCACAAACCAGAAATTTGACACTTGATCTGTGATTTATACATGCCAGGCTAAGCACTCTTTATGTATTAACTCATTTAATTTCCTGTTAAAAAAAATTAAAAGTATCTGTAATTACATTATCTGTTTTGCAAATAAGGGACTTGAGGCCCAGAGTGATTAGTTTAATTGCATAAGGTCACATAGCAAGTGAGAGGTAGAAGAATTCAAACCCAGGCAATCAGCTTCTAAAATATACCCTCTTAATTATGGCAAATTTTTGAAAATAGCAGTGAAACACTTGAGAATGGCTTGAACAGTGTTCTAACATAACCACATACTAAATTGCAGCTAGCAAATGTAGTAAAATAATAGAATATTTCTCTAAAACAAAGGATCTGAAAAGAAGGGTTAGGAAGCTTTTAATTTTGGCTGAGAAACGTGCCCCCTTCATCTTTTTATATATAATTAAATATCAGCTGTAATTACAGTCTTAAAGACTGTAATTGCAATCTGGTCTCTAATGCTCTGTGAGAGAAAGCATATTAATTTAGATTAATTTATTTCCCCATTGAAACAATGTAATAAAAGCACTGAATTTGACTTCTGTTTTCCTGCAACCACACTTAAAAATGTCCAATTCGTGCACTTGGATTAAGTGCTGATCATTATGATAAAACAACAGTTTAAACAATACTTTCTTTTTCCAAATTAAAGTCTTTTCTTTATGGAGATATTAGTCTTATTACCATCACAGGTGTGTGGTTTTTCCTGTTTGCCATCCCCACTCACTAGATCCATCCTCTGCCTTTCTCTGCTCTGTGCCCCAGCAGGCTCTGAGGCAGGTCTGAGGACTGCATCATCCCAAGGCCTTTTTGCCCTTGACATTTGCTGCATTTGGCCAATGGGAGGATCCAAGAGATCAGAGCATGGGAAAAGAGAGAAGTTTGAGTATTTCTTTCTCCTTTTTTCCTGTCAGGCTGTGGTTTTGACAGTAGCTGTGTTCCTCTACCCAAGGCCAGACCTCTTGTTGGGCTACACTTCCTAGCACTCACCCAACCCCCTCTTAAAGTCTATCCATGATAACAGCTTCCCACTGTTGGTGCCTGGTGCCTCACCATCCCTTATGAATTAGTTCCTTTTCTCTTCCTGCCAACACTTCAAATATAACACCTTCCTTTAACCCTCTTCAATCAAACACTGTGAGTATGCCGTCTATGTCCACTGAGATCCTGAAGGATACCATAGGCCAGATGTTTCAGGAAATAAAGTTGAACTATGAACAATGATGAAAAAAGGAGCATTTTAATTACGTACCAATAAAGCAGCACAAATTGGGCCATGGATAATGTAGAGGAGATGGGTATCAGAACTGATCCAGCAGCTAAGGGAAAAAGCAGGGAAATTATGTTGAAGATTTTCATTGTAATTATTTCCAACTGAAATCAAAAAGAGAGATTATCTTACTTGTCATTGTAATACAAGCTTCTGGCAACAGCATGTATACAAGCAGGAATCAGTGGAAATCCTGTAAATATCAAACAAAAAGAAAATAAATAGGCATCTTTCTCTGTAGATGGAATTCCTAAAATATGTCATGAAATATGAAACTCAGAGATACTCTAGGAGCAAAAATAGCTGGTCACTATATGCTTCTGACGTAAATATTATCTGTCTACTCATACAGTAAATGTGATGAAGTATTAGGTATCTGTCTTCAGGCTTGTGTGTATGTGTGTGTGTGTACAGTTTCTTCTAATCTGAGCCATTTTGAATCAGTGGACTCCAGACCTAAGTTCATAAATGTGCTGCCTGGGCTCAAAAGCTTAGAAGAAATTCAGCATCCACATATCTTCCATAAGATGGGACTGGCCAATCAGATGTGGGAAGAAGCTGAGACTGACTATGTGAAGAAGAGAAGGAAGAGAGAGATGGCTTATATATCAGAAATTTTGCATGTTCTTAGCATTCTAAATCAGATCTTTCAAATGTAAAATGAAGGTATATTTCATAAAGGTGACCTGAGTGTACTAATAGCCTCAACACATATATACATATAATTGAGCAAAAATTGGACTCACTTGGCAAATATATATATGACACTTTTATTATCAATAATATCAAACAACCAAATATTTATTTCAGTAAAAGAAAATATAGTGTGTGTGTACATACCTCTATATATCTGCATCTATTATCTGACTGGATAAATAGGTAGATAGATGGATAGATAGATAAGTATCATTTCAGTTATGTTTCTGGAAACTAGTCCTATTGAATTCATGTACAATGAATTCATTTTCAGCATTTTATGTTTTGCATTATTCCAGTTATTTTTTAAAAATATGCTAGAAGTGTATTATTTTTTGCTTCGCGAATAATGTCACGTCAGGAGATTGTGTGGAAAAAGCAGATGTTTTTGGCTGTCTTTATTCAGTTACTGTTCCCTCTACTCTTAAAATAAAATAACAATTTTTTTTAAACAAGCAGTTTTAGAATAGAACTTCAAAGCTGGTTAAGCCCAATGCCCTCATTTTGCACATGAGGAAAAAGGAGATTCAGAATAGATCCCTAATTTATGATTCTAATTCTATTGTTTTAGTCATTACATATTTGGCCAAAATATATTGGAATATTAAATAGAAAAAAATTGTATTATTAATTGACCTGTGGTTACCGAAAACAGTGAGTCAGTGGTACTTTAAATATTTTAATTTACAGCAATGAGCAAAGGTTAATCACTTGATATTGTTTTAAAAATGATTAATAATAAGAATATTTTTATTACAAAGGAACTCTGCATCCTCCAAAAGCTTTCTTAAAAGATAAGTCAGTAGGTATGCATGATGGCACTTACCCCAGCCAAGAAAATAATACCACATCAAGTGCTGCTTCTCCGCAAACACAGCCACCACAATAAGTGTGTGTAGGTAAATGCCTTCACAAAGCATCCAAAAGTAGTTACAGCCCATCAGGTAAAGATGAATGAATTGGAACACTTTACAGCTAACCTATGAGGAAAAAACAGATATATAGATTAGATAGATATAGCTCTATAGATATATGTATGTATATATGTGTGTGTGTGTGTTTTGGCTGTGCCATGTGGCTTGGGGGATCTTAGGTCCCCGACCAGGGATTGAACCTGGGCCCTGGCAGTGGAAGCACGGAGTCCTAACCACTGGACCACCGGGGAATTCCCAGAAAGCAATCAACATTTAGTTGTTTATAAATGTACGTGTAAAGCAATATTCTAGTTTAGCTTAGTTATACAGAAACACAGAATTTTCTCTCCTCTACACAAAATCTTTCCCACTAATGATTCAGATTTATAAAAGCCAGTCTTCATCCCCATCTAATGGTGCCTCTAAAGTATTTAGCCACTGACTTCAGAGATTTAAAATGATACACCTCCCAGGAAATGTGTGAATGCCAAATTTACTACATTTAGTGGATGTGTATTTTCTTAATATTGTTTTAGTTATCGTGTAATTACAAGTATCAAAGTTTTGCACATGAATGAATTTACATCTATTTTAACCATGTCATCATGAACTCCTCGACTGTTGCATTCTGCTGAAAAAATCTTAATAATTATCTTAATAATTTTAAAAGCAGTTCATGAAAAGTGCCAGATACTTAGAAAGTCTTGCATATCGTGTGCTACCAGTGCAGGTACTTATTAAATAATAATCTAATGAGCCCATTCTTTGTTTTATTTAAATATGGGGTTTGAGGGTTTCACGTAGGTAAAAAGAAAAAAAAGTTATGGTTTTCCTTCCTCTTTTCCTGAGGTCTCCACTTTCTCAAAGAGACAGGAAGAGAGAGGTTTAAATATTGGGTAAAGAAAATACAAAGGAGTTAAAGAGATATTTACCCCTTAACAAGGGGAATAAATTTAAAGCTCTCCAGTTAACTCCCATCAGCTCCAGTTTCCAGACTGGAACTCAAATATTTAGTGGCAATTATCACTGTTTTTGAAATAAATATCTTTTTCACTAAAAGGAAAACTGGAAATTAAATGCACTAGAAAATAAATATTGTATTCTCATAGAATAGTAGTAATAACACTGGCATATAAGTTAGCTTAAAAATATTTTAATATGTCTTGTTTTATGTAATCCCTGAGATAATTCTGTGAGGCATGATTTATCACTAGCCACATACTTTATAGATAAAAAACTGAGTACTGGAGAAGTTAAATGATTTGCTAATTCATACAACATCAATCAAAGCTACATCCTGAACAAAATTTTGTTTTCTCGACCATACATAATGCCTTCTGACTGAGGATATTTATAAAACTATTCTTTTATTAACTACATCTGCAGAATGCATGATATTAAATTTTAAATATTGTACATTGATGTCAAACATTATATTAAAAAGTTCTCTCAAAAATAAAGCTGAGTTATTTAACTATGTTATATAGAAATGATAGGCTTCAGCTTCAAAATTTTATCTGTATAGTTTTTAGATACATATATCTAATTGGGCTTCCAACTCCTGATTTCATTAAAAATTTAATCTATAAATTATTATGATAAAAAGAACTTAAAGCATGCTTTAGAAAAATTTTTTATGATGGCATTGGCAATATAAACAGACAATAAATTTTCCAAGAATACATTAAAAGTAACTATACTACATTTTGCAATTTATGTGATAAACAAAATACCCTAGTATATAAATGTAAGATTTAGAGTCTCTTTCTCTGAAGCTTCATGACAAAACTCCGACTTTCCTTGCTCTAGAGAAATGCACTCTAAAATGGTAGGATATTCGCCAATATTTTATATTGCTAATTATACCCCAGTGTTTCTTCACCCAGTGACTTTAGAGTGGAATATATACAAGATTAAGCATCCAGATGCATATGTGCAAACAATGCAGGGAATTTTAGAATTTTGGAAATTACCCTAAAAACACACATAAAACACATATGAGAGTATCGTTTATTGAGCAATTAAGTGAAAATTCCTTCCCTTCCCCGATTTCAGTAACTAGAACTTAATCTTTTATAATCTTAACCTTAATCGTTTATATAAAAACTATTTTATATATCATATATACACACCCTTCCCAAATCTACATCCAAAACAGTAGTATAGATACTACAAATATAAAAGCAGGCAATTAAAATCTCTCGAATATATGCTTGCTATTTATGGAGATGTTTTAATTTAAATATAGCTTACATATGCATATAACTTGCATAAAATATACAAAATTGTATTGTAAATATCAGGTTATATTTTTAAAATATAGCTTTTGTATTGTGATAGTCTCTGTGCTTATTTTTGTGTATCTTTTTATATTTATCCTAAAACCTGTGCTTCCAAAGGGATTGTAAGGGAATAATTTACAAATATTTGCTGAGACAGTTAGGATTTGGTAGAGCGCTTGAAAAATTTTATGTTGTTAAAGTTCAATATTATATAGACATAATTCATTTTCCCTGGTTTTATTAACTCTTTAAAGTCAGCCTGATACCAAACATAATTTAAATTAAATTTTCCATTTTCATGTGCTGCCTTTCTCTAACTGCACAGTTAGTTGCTTTGCTTGATTTTTTAAAAATTTGATTGAGGAAATGTTATGTCCCACCAGCAGTAAGACTCTAACCGTAAATGAGGTGAAGACATTTAACATATGTAGGTAACTGAAACAAAGAAATTACTCTTCCTTTTGTTATTCAATATTTATAACTTGGGGAATATTGAGATATATTTACCTTTCTAAATTGGAATATAGCTACATATACATACTCTTTATATGTCAGACATAAAATATACATATATTAGTACTTAATTACACACATATACATGTATCTACCCCTGCCCCCCACCTCTCCTATTTCTTCCCCACTAACCCCTTGAACCTAAACTTCATTTTACTTACAGGATTTGTGGCCACTAAGGGCTGGTTGTTGGCCACTGCAGTGAGATGAATGATTATTACAATAGAGTTACAAACGAAAGAGAAGAACAAATTTTTGTGCAAGGTAATTCTTTGGCAACTTAGGCTCCTGAAAGGCAAGAGAAACCAAAGTGTGCTGACATCATAAAATGTTTCCACATTGTGTATTAATAATCATTCAAATAAGATACATTCACAATTCATAGCAGCTGCTCCAAATTTGGAAGAATTATTTTTTCTCCCCAAGATTCACTCATGATAAAATTTTAATTGGGGAAAATCTATAATTCCTCAAAGCATAGAGACACATGAGTTGCTTCAGTACAGGTAAGCATATATAAGGAAAGGAAATTTGTCTGTACAAGGCCTCTACATAAATTTCTTCCCTTAATCTCTCATCATGATTAATATTCTAATTCATTCTAAAGATGTAGAAACTGAAATTCAGTGAAAATAGATAATTGATCAAAAAATCATGCAGCTAATTAATTTGAAAACTTTGGATTTGCCATCAGATTCTCACATAGATAATGCTCTTTTCATTATACCACATAGGCTGTTCTATTTATATATCCTGTTTATGGTGGTTCTGTTTATATAGCTCCTATGTGGTAGTGGTGATTATGTAGACCAATCATGAGAAAAATAACATTGTATTTAGAAGAAATGAGTTGATAAAAATATAGATTTAGCAACCAATGAGGTTTGCTCAGCTTCACTGAATTTTTTTCCAATTGGCCCAGCCATGCATAAGATATAAAAATATTACCTCCTTTTATTGAAGATCCTCATGTGTAAAACAAAATTTTAAAACTGCCTAAATGGAGTTCATATAGAAATAGATTTCAGGAGTGGATGTCATTCATGACAAGTAATGCTGGTCTTCAGATTGAATCCACATCTGCTCTACAAGATTGTATATGACTGCCTTACCCATGATCAAAGACCAACTCAAGTACTACCTCTTCTATGAAGCATTATTCAATGGCTTATTATGGGTAAAGTTTTAAAATAATATAAAGGAATCCATTTGAAACTGAACACTTAATATCAAAACAAAACATATATGTAGGAAGACATGAGGAATCATTTCATTACAAAGAGTTAAAAGCTCATTTTGGGTTTTACACAGTTATACAATTAATATGATCAACCTAGATAATCTGCCTTATATAACTCAAATCAATGACTTCTACTTTGGAAACTTTGAGATTTTAACCTAGTTTTATCACCATATCACCTTATTCTAAATAGAATATGTGCCCAGGATATTATAGTTAGGCTGGGATGCCAAGGTTTTCTATATTTAAAATGCAAAGTTTAGGCTATATTGTCTCTGAAATTTCTTGCAGCTAAAGGTCTGTGATCCTGTATATAGCTCTAGTATTTTAAAGGATCTGAAAGTGAATCCAATCCAAATCAAACTTTATGGAATTTCAATACACGCCTTTCACAGAAGTAGATGCTATCAGGGAAACTTCTTTGAAAGGCTTCATGAACAAGACGGCCCTCAGATCAATCACTGTGTGTGAGACAGTCATATACCAACAATTGTGAAGTCCAGATGGAGTCCATCAAAACAGAAACAGCTGAGAGTTGCTAGTATTTTCATATTAGAGAGTCTTTAACTTGACTTGACTTTGCAGTGCATGACAGTAGTGAGAAGCAGGCAGGGATCAAGGAACAGTGTAAAAATGATACTCTATAGAGAAAAAGAATCTTTGAAAGTTTTTGAATTAAGGGGTATCATGAGTTCTGCTAGTTAACTGAAGTCAACATTGAGGCAAAGATGGCTCTATTTTTGATAAAATGCCACAGCAGTGACACGAGTGCTTGTGTTTACTGAGAGTGAAGAGAATTAATGAATATGAGGAGAGGTCTAATAAAAAGTACTCTTTTCAAATCATTTATACATATTATGTGTAGTTTATTTCTTGTAATTTATCCCTCTTCTGTGTTGAAAATTATGAACACATAAAATTTGTCAACATGGTCTTATTTTAAAATGCCTGTCTTGGGCTTCCCAGGTGGCGCAGTGGTTGAGAGTCCGCCTGCCGATGCAGGGGGCGCGGGTTCGTGCCCCGGTCCGGGAGGATCCCACGTGCCGCGGAGCGGCTGGGCCAGTGAGCCATGGCCGCTGGGCCTGCGCGTCCTGAGCCTGTGCTCCGCGGCGGGAGAGGCCACAACAGTGAGAGGCCCGCGTACCGCAAAAAA